GAACTTTAGATCTGTTCCTTATGGTTATTACTCGCAGGCTCTAGCAATAAACTATGACCCAGACTCTCCAAGAAGCTTCAAAAGTATTTGCCTGAAATGTAACACAGCCAGGTTTTTAGACCAGGAAATTAGCTGCTGCATGTGATTTAAATTGCTACTCATATCTTTTTATTTTTTGTGTCCGCAGTAATTGGATTTAGCTGTTGCGGTGTCCCTGCCCTAATATTTAAGCTATTATTAGTGTATTGTTACGTTCTTATTACTAGTGTTTGCATATCTACAGTGTTTTTTTTTCGTTTTTTTTTTATTCTTCAAGGCAAAGCTAATAAAATAAAATAAAAATAAATTTCTTGGGCACCTGTGAATGCTAAAACTGAAGACGACGATTCTACCGTCAGAAGAACCACCCGACAAAGCCAAAAATGAAGAACGTTATGCGGAACTTATACAGTTTTTAGACAACAAAGGCCTCTCATTAGTAATGAGGGATGCTGCCGATGACAGTAGGAAGGCTCTGAAGATCTTGCGAGCGCATTATGCCAGCCAAAGTAACCCGCGAATAATAACGCTCTACACCGAGTTGACATCGCTTGAGATGGGAACAAACGAGACAGTTACAGGGTACTTGATTAGGACTGAAAAGGCAATCATGGCTCTCAGAAACGCCAAGGAAACCCTCAGCGATGGATTAATTAAAGCTATGATCCTTAAAGGACTACCAGAATCTTATAAACCACTGGCAATTCACGTCACCAAAAGCACAATTGAGATAATATTCACCGAGTTCAAAGTCCAGCTGAGAAGTTTTGAAGAAACCGAGAAATTCAACACAAAAGTGAAAGTGAAAATTGAGTTAGGTTTTAGAAAACTTAAGTGCTTCTACTATACATGCTGTTGTTTTCCTGCTCTTAAGAATCTTAAATCACACATGCTTTTTTTATTTTTTATTCACACTAGGTTGGCCAGAAATTTTACTGGCCTGAAAACCACCTCTTGCCTAAAGAAATGGAGAAGAAGGCTAAGAAATGCCCACGACAACCAATTAGGAGTGATTAGGAGTGATGTCAGTGTTTCTGCCACCTCATCCTCACCTGATCATGATCAACCACAAGTCAGTTCCACCTCACCTGCACATGCAACACTAACAACCGCAAGAACTTCTACTTCTAACGAAACATGTATAGCCAATATCTTAAGTCTTCAACCACTTGTCACAAAGAGGTATAAGGGATATGGGTATGTTGAAGTTGATGATCATGAAGGGCCAGCTGACAACCTTTCTTGAGAGACACCTGCTACCATAAATGGAAAATCCCAATGCAAACGAGTGCCTAAAAAGAGTTTGGACTTTTTCTATGCATAATGTTTTTGCTAAATATAAGAACTATGTTTTACGTGCCACCAGAAACTCATAAGGGGTTGAAACGTGTAACTCTCATATGTCTGCTTTGTCCGATGCTCGTGATTTTTCATTTTAGAAAGTACCATATTTGGAATGAGAAGAAGAGATAACTGACCAATCAAGCTTCATAAATAACGTGACGTAGTTTTACTTCAGCTTCCCGCGCCCACTTGAAAAAAATGGCTGACAAACGGGGAAAAACTCCCGAAAGCCGAGAAAGCTTTCAAAGGTTGAAACCAGGAATCTTACCGAGACACTGTGCAGGATATTATTGCCTCACCACCCGGACCAAACATAACATTATGAAACCCATTGACGTCCTCGCAACTTCTTGAAGTTGTCACTTCAAACAACGATGCCTCGTTGACCCTCTGCATGCACAGTAAACTTATATTGCAAATAGGTTTTTAAAATTCTTATATTAAAAGTCTAGAATAAACAGTAAAAAATATTTTTGAATAAAATTCATTAGCTGCGTATCGAAAAGTGTCCAAAACCTGAACTTGACATCTTCACAAAAAGTGATGCGTGTGAAGAATGTGAGAAGCATTTAAGCTTAAATTCAGCTTGGATGTTGTAGTCATGATCGTCTTTTGAGCTAATTTTATGAACGAACAAACTCAAAACAATAGAGAAGCCGTTTCTCGAAAATTTTTATTCAAAATCCAAAAAGTTAATCCTTTAAAGCAATTCGGACAACACTATCTGGATCATGGATCCGTTCACGCTAGCGAAATTGGCTGACCACATGGCACAATTCAACACAAAATCCATCTCAAATCCGAGCACATTTTGTAATTTTTCTTTAGCGCCAGAGAGAAAAATTTATCAAACGTCTATGAAACATTTAAAAATACATAAATTCCCTTTCAAAAACGTAATTGTCTTGGCCATAGAGTGCAAAATGTACCTGAAAATTCAGCAAAAACTTCACTGCCTTGGTTGCATTTCAAAACAGACCATGCCTTCGGTCGTGAAGAAAACAAGGTTGAATTCCTTGAAGGACGATTTCTTGATGAAAAGTTTCCCTTCCTCCACAAAAAGAAAGCTGAGCATTTTTTTGAACTTTCTCTTTCCATTTTTTGTCTTTTAACGGTG